AGTTTTACTTTTTATATTTGGTCCTATATTTCGTCTATCTCGCAAACTGCTTCAATTTGTTTATAACTTTGTTATTGATTCCTCTACACAGCTAGTTTGACGGGTTTACTAAGAACCTATTTTAATTTCACTGTTTTGAACACTTTCCACTGTCTAATGTAATTATTCTTAGGATATAATATCGTCTGATTGTTTTCATTTTCTTCACAAGTATTTTCATTTCATAATTTGAATAAGTTTTCAAGTAGAGATCTGTTTCAGAACAGGTTTATCGTTATTATTATGTAAAATTTCTCTTCTAAATCGCAACAGTATTTTGCATGATACTCTTTGTGAAGTATAAATCCTTCAAATTTTTGAATGTTTTGTTTTTTTTTTGAGTTTATTCCTTGTTGATATCTCCTTGGTAATAACAACGAGATATTATACAGCTCACTGACACTTTATATTTAAGGTTAAGAAAAGACTATCTAGGTGATTTCGGTGTTTCTATTTAGTATGTTTAGAGGTGTTTGAATGAAAATGATCGGCCTAGACGGAGGAGAAAACGTGAAATTTTGAAGTGATTTTATGTAGGATTCTTGATCATGTTTTCTACGCGTTGAAGTCGTTTTATCATGATTTGACCATACGTTAATGTTTCCTTCATTACTTCAGGCAGTCGGATTTTCCTGTTGTGCAAAAAAAGGTCGTCATCATGGGAGATAGTCATGAAGTAAGTTTCTTCAAATTAATTTATTCTCTCTGCTTGACTTGTAAATTTTTGAAAATTTGATGAACGTCTAAGCGGGAGATGGCTATTTACAAATTATGTTTTCCTCGGATCTCTATTCATTGTTCTACAGGTTGAAACTCAACCACCTACTACTGTTGATGAGGAGGAGGTGGTAGATCCACTGATCAAATTTCGTGAAGAGTGCGTAGCTCATACCGGAAAATGGAAAAAATTGCTGGATGAGTGCACGGAACGTGTGAATTCGAAAGCACAGACCAAGGAATCATGCCATTATGAAATGGTCGATTATATTCAAGCTCTTGATCATTGCGTAAGTTGTATATGAATTTGTTGGAGGCGTAGGAATTTATGAGTGGTTTGCTTTTTAAGAAGCCAAAACTTGATTTCGCAAAGCTAATGAACAACAATTTTTCTGTTTACTGATAAACAGAATGCTGCCATTCTGTATTCTTTGTTTTTCAGTAAACTATTTTTGTACTAGCCATATAATATTATGATGGAAGTAGGTGTTTAAGGTTTTTTATTTATTTTTAAGTAGGTGTTTAAGGTTTTCTATTGTTTCATCTTCAAAGGAATATGAATTTTTATGATACAAAGGCTTATGAAAAGTAATTTTCAGGCCATGCCTAAGGTTTTCGCAACTTTGAAGTAGTCCGACAGTAGTCCCTCGAGAGTGATTTTTAAAATAGGACACTGTATTTTTAAGCTGATGCATATGTCTATTAATGAATAAATCAATTTGCCTTCGATTTGAAGCTTCTTACCCACTAAAATAGCCAGGTCATGTATATGCTTGAAAATAGGCTATATCGAATACTATTTGTTATGATATACGGACATATTTACCATTAAATTGGAACAATACATTGGCTGGAAACGTCGCAACAGTAGATTATGCGCAAGAAGTAGCTTCATTTTACGTTAAACTTAAATATGTGGATGCTGAAACACGAAACAATTCAACAAAATAAGAAGTTTTAGTGTCGAATACCACTTCCTTTTTAGCCTTGCATTTCAAATTGAAAAAGAAAAAAATTAGAAAGACAGAGAAAGAGACGACAACAATAAAACCATGCTCTTTTTTTCTTTTAAACCAATACAAAGTAAAATATATCACAAGAAAAGCATTAGACCATGTAATATATTGAATTGAATTTCAATTAAGCGTATCATATTTGCTTTATGGATTCCTACGTGACACTTGTCATAGAGAATTTCGCTACGTATATATGGTTAGTATTATATAATTTTAGCAAAAAATACAACTTTTTTTTTTCTACGATTTTTTTTCCAATTTCATAATTCTGAACACAAAATCACGGTAGGCTAGAACTGTAGGATTATTTTATTATGATCTTTATAATTTTAATTCAATTTCTTAAAACTAATTATTCTTATCAAATACTTTGACAATTATTTGTTTGATGTTTGTAATGAATACATTTTACAACTCTTCATATAGGCATACATTTAATCTTAATCTATCATCTTTAATTTTATCATTCATGCTGCTACTATTCCATTCTTCTATTATTAATGCAATCAGTTTATTGCTAATTAGAATGACGTATTATTAGTTAATGAACGAGAGCTATTTGATTCAGTATTATATGATAGATAATTCAAAAGTGTTTTTACCATGTAATTTAAAATACTAAGATTTCTCTCTAAAGATGAATTAAACTATTATATCAGTGGATTTATCAGATGATGTCAAATTTATTACAAATTTTTATTCCATAGAGAATAGGAATGAAAAATTGGAAATATAAGGAGAAAGTGAATTATTTTATGTATTTAAATTTGGATTAGCTTTGTTAATCGATGACAAGAAATATATAAATTTATCGATTTGTATATTATTCTTGGATAATTTTATATTTCGAAATTTAATCAAATTGAGTGTTCACTTTAATTCAAGTCTTTTTTTTGAGTCCAATTTATAATTAAATTTAAAAAAGTAAGTTTAGCTGAAGGAAATATAAAATTTTTTGCGCAAAAAAAGGGAAACAGAGCAGGTCATTTTTGTCATCATCACTTGCTCTACTAATTAATCAGTCTTTTTAGAAGGATCATTAGTGAATTAGGAAACCGTATTTAATTAAGGAGTAAAATTGATTTGCAGAAAAATAAATTAAGCTTTATATGGATAATTAATTTCAACAAAAAAAAAAAAAAAACTTTTTTACAAGGAAGAAAAAAGGTAATGTTTTTGAGAATCATTTTCACATACAAGTGTATATTCTTATAAAAATTATAAAGTGAAATATTTTTTATTTTAATTTGATTATTTTAGTTTTTTAAGTTCTTTTTAATAGAAACGATGATTATTAATCATGATTATTTATCGCTAATGCCATTAATTAATTAATAATAACAACTAATAAGTTAAATAAAAGATATGCAACATGTGGAAGTCTCGTATAATTGCCATTATTGCTAATGTAGAAGTGATGATGTTATCATTGTTATCATATTATATCATTAGCAATCATATCATTGCTATCATATCATATTATTATTAATTTTACTATTACTGTTACATTTTGATTTATAGTAAATGGAGGAAACTTGCGAAAATTAACAAAAAAAAAAAAAAAATTAAAAAATTTTCGAATTATATCATTCTGTATGTTTCCAAAAAGCATTCATTAAAAAATTAAACAATGAACAATCCTTTATATACATTTATTGAAATTAATTTCCATAAAAAAGGGAGAAAAATTCCCGAAATTTCATTTGATAAATGAGTTAAAATAAGCATTACTGCGTAAATTTAACTGGCAGAAAAAAATTATAATAAGATAGTACTAGAAATATTAAAGTATTTAAAAAAATATAAAAATTCTATTTAAAATATTAATACAAAATTTAAAATATTAAAATGATAAAAAATAGTGGCTAAAATACTAAAAAATATTAAACCTCGAGATATTGGTAGTACTTAAAATATTAGATCAAACGCGCTTACAGTAATTAATTAATTGTTTTTCATAGCAAAATATTGGGGTAAAATTTGATGATTGTATAAATGCAATACAGTAATTAATTAATTGTTTTTCATAGCAAAATATTGGGGTAAAATTTAATGATTGTATAAATGCAATCATAAAATTGTGGGCAAATAAAAGCAATAATGGAATAAAAATGATTACCAATTAGTTAAAAAAGCAATTAATGAAGATGTTGGATAAAATTTTGTGGAAACAGTAATTTAGATTACTAATTAGCAAAAGGCAATTAATGCTGACATTAATTAAAATTTCATGGAAAATTTTATATTCGAATAATTTTTATAAATACAGACAGATTAATGCATACCTATACAAATAAACCTTGAATTCTTGAATTACGAATTTAATTATTCATGATTATGGAGTATGAATAAAGATGGTAATTGGTGAATGAACCAAATCAACCGGATATACCGGAATAATTAATTGGTTTGAACAGGAAGTGACTGCTATATTTGAATGTATTAAAATTGAATGGTTTTGAAAGAGAGGAAAAGAAATGAAGAGAAAACCCAAATATGTTTTAAATTATTAATTTTATTATTCAAAAATTGCCAACAACCTTTTGCAGTTATGTAATGTATGAGGAAAATAAAAAGATTTTTTTCTTTTTTCCTCAAATAAAGGAAAAGTTGGAATTAATGTAATTGAGGAAAATTTAAATCTTCTTTTTAAATTTAATCTAACTTTTCTAAAAAATTTGATTTATCTTTTAAATTCAATTCTTTAACTTTTAAATGAAAGAAAAATGAAAAGAATTTAATTAAGTATATTTGAAATTATTGCTGCATTGCTTTTCTTTCAAAAAAAAAAAATTAATTGAAGATTATGAAATATTCATGTATATATGTATAAATAAGTGTTAAGTAAGAATATATTAATAACTTTTACTTACTTAAATTATTTATCAGTAATGAATGTTACGAATTTATATATATATATATATATATATTGAAATAATTTTTACTCATTTACTCATTAAATCATTTTATCATTAATGAATATATTACCAATTTATGCTTAAATGTTTTTCATTCCAATACTTTCTCTCTATTAGCTTAATGTAGCATAAAGCTTTTTGCTTAATGGTTTTGATGCTTTTTCAATAAACGTATAGAGAGGATGTGGAAATAATGCGCTGGGCGCAAATATGGCATTTAGGATGGAAAAGAAGAATCGATATCATCCAACCATCCAACCATTCATCCATCCATCCATCCATCCAACCAACCGACTAACTAATCAACCAACGAACCAACCAACCATCGATACATATATGAGAAGAGGAAATACAAGGGAATAGATGGATGGATAGGGAAAAATGAAAGGATAATTGATGATAGGTAGTGATTTGGAAGTATTATATTTGTAGAGATGAAAAGAAAAAGAAAAAGGAAGAGAAAAAGATGAAGAAAAAGACTAAGCTCTTTTGGTTTATACTTGGCCTAATAATCTAAGCTTAGGCTCTTTTTTTTTCTTTTTTATCCAAGTGTATTTTATTGTTCCTTTATACATTTTAATTTTTCTATTTTCATTCGTTTTTATTTATTTCTTTCACATTTTTTCTCTTATTTTTCTTTTTATTATTATTACTTTTTTTTCCATACTTCAAAAAAAAAAAAGACAAGGAAGTAAAGTAGACTAGAATTGATATTTTCCGCTAAAGTAAAGTAAAGTTTAAGAAAAAAAAATTTACATATAATTTTATTGGAAAAGAAAAAGAAAAAAATTATTCAATAATTTTTTTTTCTTTTAAGAAAATTTCTACAATGATATTACAATTGCTACTATCAACTGCACATTACCTCCTGCTGTTTCTAACGAACTGTTTCATGACATCTGGACATTTTTTGTCCTCAGCTGTCGTTCATCATCCATATCATCCTAATCATCAATACCAGTACTATAAACAACAAGAGCACCAAGAGCAGTATCATCATCATTTCCCAACCCTTTCAACTATTATACCCGCGGTATCACGATTACACTCCCTACCACATCACCATATTATTATCCGACGAGCTATTCTACCACAATGGCAACATTCATCACCTGCTAACGATCATCATCAGCCTTTCCCTTCTCCTACTATTACTATTACTACTACTCCAACTGATACATTAACAAAGAAAATCGATATGATACAGGTGATTTTACAAAATTTTCAAATTTTTAGAACATTAAATTTTATTCGAATTTAATAGTAATGCATAAGTTTATAATGAAAAAACAATTTGAATGTTCATAATGACATCAAAATTTTTGCAATTACTAGTATTAAATTTGCCAATTATTTTATTAAAATTTTCATTTGTATTTGATTGTATAGATTGATGAGGAATTGAAGGCGTTGAAAAAGAAGCGGAAACGATTACGACAGTTACGTGAAGAAGTGCGTAAATTAAGTGATCATCTAAAAAGCAAGCGGATATTTGCAAAGAGTAAACTTTTAAATTGCTTATCATATTTAAAATACATTCTGTTGAAGAATGCAAATGATTTTACAAAATTTTAATTTTGAAATGAAAAAACTTTATCAAATTTTCAAATAACTTATTATCATCCATCTTTAACTCTGTATTCATCTTTAATTTCATATCTCAATAACTTATCATCTTTAGCTTTATATTCCAATAACTTATCATCTTCTATCATCTTTAGCTTTTTATTCCAATAACTTATATCTTTGGCTGTATGTTTGAGAAAAAAAAAAGAAAACTGTTGGACATGTTAGCCTATTTAATTTCATTTGCTTTTCCTCTCCCATACTAAACGAATTCTTTTGAATTCAAGCAAAATGGCTGAATGCTTATCAAATTTACACAAATTCATTTTTATTTTCGTTGGAAAATATCTCAAAGAAAAAAAAAGAGAGAAATTTGCAATAAAAGTAAATTAGATTTTTTAGATAAAAAAATAATTTCTACAAAAGTGTCATTTCAGCCAATACTTTATGATTGATTGAAAATTATTCTTAAATTTATTAAAACTACTGTATCATTGAAAATTACAAAAAATAATCATAAAAATATTTAATTCTTTTTTTCTTTCCTCCCTCTCCTCTTCATTTTTCCCTTCTCTATTTTGAATAAAAAAAATTCCTTTTTTTTTTGTCATACTAATTAATAAATTGATTGTAACTTTTTTAAATTCATAACTTGTAATTTATTATTATTATTCATTATTATATTATTTGATGAATTTTATTTTGAATCTTTACTTAACGAATTAACTTTGAAATGTCTTTTTTTTCTCCAAAAAAAGAAAAAAGAAAAGAATTAATTAATAAATAAATAGGAATTTAATTCAGCTTATAAAACTATTTCCGGGAAACAAATTCAGGATGGAATTTCAGGATGAAATCTAAATAATTAGTAATATTGCAATAAGACAATACATAAAGAATTCTTTTTTCCAACAATATATTATGACGTACGTATGCTTCATTTCTATTCTATACAACTTATAGTTGACTATTTCATACAATCAATAATTAATAATATAGATATATAAGCTACTAATATTATTTTCCATACATAAGCTTATCATAAAAGTTATTAATTAATCTTCATTAAAACAAGAAATGAAGGATTTATTAAAATTTAAAAATAAAATAAAAAATTTTAGTTGAAACAAATAACAATGATTTGTTGGTGAAGCGCAAAATGAAAGAAACGCATGTACGATGGCGGAAACAAATAACTACACGTGTAAAAGCAATTATGAAACGATTAAAAAGATTAGAAAATGAAGTGAAAACAGAACGAAATTTCACTAAAGTCTTTTGTTTTTTCTTTTTTTTTCTGTCTTCATAATCATTTTATCATTTTATCATTTAAATCATATTGCAAATTTGAAAATTTATAATATTTAAAATTAGATGCAAAATTTATCATTCATATGTAATTTATTTGGTGCAGTTATTTCAAATTAATAAGGATCGATAAATTTTGGAAATATTTATTAACTGCTATTAAAAATTTTAATTTAATTATAATATGATTTCTTTAAAAACCAATAATAATAGTAATTGAATGTTATTATTGAAAAATAATACAAATTAGATGCAAAATTTTTTCCCTTTTTTTCTTCACTTCAATTTAATACTTTAACTTAATTATTTTTTAAAATTTCAGTAAAAATTAATGCTTAATTAATTTTGTTTTATTAAAGAAAGATATCATTGATAATTTCTCCTTTTTTTTTCTTTTTTTTTCTTGCTGAAAGATTTGCGGAAACTGATATATTTATAGGAGAGAAAAAAACTGTCTAAACGTTTGCCGATAATAATACCATTAAATTATCATACAGTACAATCATCACCTCCTACATCACTAATTACAACGACTAAAAATTTCAAGGTAAATGTTTATTGATTGATATTATCTTTTCTTCTACTTTTTTCTTCTTGCTATTTAAATTTTTTAATGGTGAAAAAAAAAATTAAAATGATGAAATGAAAATAGTAATTATTAGCAAATAGCATACAATATATTGATTGATTGATTGTTTATTATTCAATGAAAGATCAATGAAGATATAAAATATGATCATATATAGGAATTGCATTGAAAATTTTCAACTTAATCTATTTTGTTTAATAAATCCATCCAATAATTTAATAAACAATATTTTTATCATAGATTAAACGGCTTCATTCATCTATAAATCAATCAAAAAATGGTGAATCTGGTGGAATTTGTCTTGGTCATAATGATTGCAAACCAGGTTCTGCGATGAAATTTAATATATTTTGTTAAAAGTTAATTCCAATTGATTCTCTGTAATATGCATGGGCATATGTATTTGTCGTTTAATGTAATTTGCAGCTTGCATGTTTGCACTTGCATGCTGCACTTTGCAATTTTAGCAATTCCTAAAATTTTATACAAATTTATTGTATCTTTTATTAGCTAGAATCATATTATTAGTAATATGTTAGCGATACTTTTTATTTTAATTTCAATTACTTTTCAATGTTTTAACTTCAGGATTTTCTTAAATCTTTTTTTTTCTTTTCTTTTTAAGACAAAATAGAATATAGTATCTTCAAATTTAACGAATTTAAATTTAATTTTAAGGGTTATGTTGTCATCGTACTTCCTCAACGGATGCAAATTCATCGGTAACATCAACAACAAACGTATGCTATCATTATATGTTAAAAGAAGGTGAATTATGCGAAGATTCATGTCAATGTGAAGCACGATTGCATTGTTTCCGAAGTTTGAACCAATTAAGAGATGACAGATTGGTGACAAAATCAAAACGCAATATGGTATTATTATTTTATTTTTCTCCTAAGCAATTATTTAAACGAATAACTTGACCTTTATCCTTTATTTACACATAATGTATGATATTGGGATAAAATTTAAGTTTGCTTTCAATTTATCTTATATAGTGATATCAATTTTAATTTATTTCAAGATTAAAATTGATTACCATAATTTATTTTTTTCTTTTTATAATAAAAGATGAGATGAGGATGAAATGAATAAGGAAGGCTACATTATGAAATGAAATATTCAGCTTATAAAACGTCATAATTAGCATAAGGTGAACTATGAAGTGGTATAATTAGTAAAGCTACAGTGGGAAATGTCGCATTTAGCATAAGGCTACAATCTACAATTATGAAGTAGGGTAATTAGCATAAAGCTACATTATGGACCATTGTATTTAGCATAAGGTTTCATTATAATATATTATATAGGAAATAAAACTGGGCTGTGCAAAGATTAAACTTTATTTGTTTACTGATTTATTTTTGTTTAATTCATTAATTATTCCAATACAGTATGCAATTTGCAAGAAAGTTTCAACCAGTGATATTGTGAACGGAATATATCTGAATTCAAAAGATTCATCATTTCACACAAAGCTACCAATACATCAACAACAACAATAATCTTCCGTAATGTATTCTTCATTTTTTAATATTTTAATCAATTAATATTTCTTTTTTTTCTTTCCTAATATGTTACTTAATGTTATTCCTTTATAAAATTTTCAAAATATTTCAAGTTCTTCAATAATCATTTTAAATTCTGTTGTTAATTTTTAAAAGATGACATACTAATTAATGTAATTTGATTTCCTATTTATATTTTCTCATTTCTTCCCATTGGGAAGAATCATTTCTGACATTTATTTGTTATTTAATTCAAAGATATCGATTACCTTTGATAAGGAAAAGGTAACATTTCATGAAGTGTTAAAATTTTCCATGATAACATTTCACCGGAATAATAATGACTTACAGGAAATCAGTTCATTTTTCAGTATGGCATAAGTCAAATGATATCGCACTATTGAAATTTTGTGACATTACGCATTTATTGTACAGCTATCGTTTTGTCCCCTTGTCATATCTTATCTTGTCGTTGTAGGTGTAGATTTTATTATTTATATTTTATAATTTCAAACTTTTACATAGTAAAATTTTTGCACATATAAAATTGAAGAAATTATAGGAGCATCCAATTTTTGATCCCATTACTTTCATTTTCATTTTATCATACACTGATACTAATTAGATGGAAGAGAATAATTTCCAAATAAGTGCTGTAAATTAAAATTAGATCAAGTTCATGACTGATTATTTTTATTTCGGAATGATAATTTATCAAATGTTATCATAGTCATATAAATTCAATCAACAGTATTTATCGTTTTTTTTTAAACAAATTATACATATAAATCACCTTTAAGTTTTTATCATTTGAAAATAATTTTTTGTACGTTTTTTTTTCCGTAAATTCCTTTAAGGATTTTTATTTATTTTTTTTAATTTCTATCTGATAAAATTAATAAATTATTTGCTTATTTTGTCGTTATGTTTGTTTTTTCTCATTTTTATTTGTGCAATTTTAAATATATACTTACTTGTTACTATCATCTAAAATAACAACAACAACAACAATAACAACAACAACAACAACAATAACAACAACAACAACGACAACAACAACAACAATAATAATAATAATAATAATAACAATAATAATAATAATAATAGTAATAATACTAATAATAATAATAATGGTGATAATAATAATGATAATAATAATAATAATAGTGATAATAATAGCAGTAATAATAATAGTGATAATAATAATAATAATAATAATAAATAACTTGTGAAAATATCTTTCTTTTGTTAAAATTCGTTTAATTTCGATCTTTTTTTGTTTCTGTTTTCTTATTATTTATTTTATTTTATTTTTTTTTTTTTTGTTATTTTGTAAATAAAAACAAAGAAAGAAAGTAAATAAAAAAAAAAAATTATTTGGATGCGTTTTGATCTCGTCATTGTACAGAGAGCTTCATCTCTTAAATTTAATTAATCATCGTGTTGTGAATGTTCTTCTAATTTAATTATGTGCTTCTATTAGTCTCTCTCTCTCTTGCTTTTTCTTTTTCTTTTTTACCAATTCATTATTATTATTTTTATTATTAAATTATCGAAAACTAATTAAAACTATCCTTAATTATTATTTATTACTGAAGCAATTTAGTATTAATGTTCTAATGTTAAAACTTATTTTGATCACTTTTCTTTACCTTTTTGTACTATAATTAATCAATTAAGATTTTAGAATTTATTTTTTTATTTCGTTCTTGAAGCGTGTCAAAATGTTTGATATGAAAGTTTCGAAAATCTTCAACTAAAACTGTCCTTTTCGTTTTTTTTTTTTTATTTTGCAAGAAAGTTATATGAAATATGCTAATTTTATAAAACTGATCATGATAATTTGGGAGAGTTTTAGTTGGAGATTTTGAAATTTTTTGAAAATTTTAAAATTTTTACAACAAATTTTAATTAGTTTGGAAAATTTCTTCCATTTTTCGGTTTTTTATTTATCAGTTTTGTATATGATCGTCCTTTGATGATTATCCTTCCTTATCAATTCTTTTTTATCGATATTATCAATTTTTTTTATCACTAATTTGCAGTATTTTTTTCTTTTTTTTCTTTTTTGCATTATCGAATATCCAAATAATTATCAGTAAGTGTTCTCTATTCATATAAGCGGGGAAAAAAAAATAGACTTCAACAACGAATTTTTAAATATATGCTAATGTTTTACTATAGGCTTTTAAAACATCTTGTTGAATCGGTCAGTTTTACTTTTTCTCCGGTCATTTTTTATTTAAATTTCCATAAAACTTAAACGGTAAAATGCTTTAAAGTGTATATAAATCATTGTTTGCTAAATATTTATTTATCTAATTAATATATTTCTATAAATATTCCATTATTTTTTCTTGTAAAGAATTTAATTACAAAACGATCTCTGATCTTTTGTTTTTTGTTTTTTTCTTTTTTTTTAAATTTATTGTAAAAGGAATAATTAATTTCCTTTTCTTCTTCTTTCCTTTCTCGGTAATTAGTAATTTTTTTAATAAATGTATTAGATTACAAAGATCAAAAATTAAAACTTACACTTAATCCTCATGACATTGGTCGTTTTTTCTTTTTTTATTTTCTAAATCTCAATTTAATTTAATTACTGTCATATTTTTACTTTTCATGATGTTGAGGTTGATGCGAAACGATTCGATTGATTGTTTACTAATTAACTTAATTAGTGTTCATCAAGGTGAGAAAATGTTTTTTTCTCATCCTTTGCATAATATTCCATCAATTTTCTCCCACTTTTAATTCCATTCCATTCCATTTCATTCACTCATTCATTCATTCATTCTTAACAAAATGATAAAATGCAAATAATTAATATCCTAGAAATGATAATGAAAGTAAGCCAAAACAGTTTCTTTGAAGCAAATTCATTCATTTTAATAAATTCATTAAATTTTCTATTCTTTTTCTTTTTTTGTTCACGGAAAAGTTATACATAACTTTTTTGCCTCCTATATATTATTTGTCACTTAGTAAAAGTATACGACGTGATAATTTACGTGAGAAGTATATGTGGTAATTTAGCGTAAATATATGATATATCTTTTTATTATCACGTAAAAAATATTATTTAAAATATACGAAGAGTAAAGTATGATTTCTTCAGTGAACAAAAAAAAAATTAAAAGTTAATGAATTTGCTGCAAACTTTTCTTTGTTTTAAGAATATATTTAAAACTGATTAATTAAAACATATTCAATTTCGAATAAAAAAAAAGCATATCTATTTGAAAATTATTAATTTGCATATATATTTAAAATCGATGACTCATGCTAATTTATAATTATTTTTCACAATTTTCAAAAAAATTTTTTCATTTGGCATGAAAATCTGACAAAATTTCGTATCATTTTTGATAAATTTCCAAATTTATTTCATTTTTACATATTTTTTTATTCATCGATTATATTCAATTTTTGTAATAATTTCATTAACTCTAATTAGTAATACATTATGTTTTCTTCTTTTTTATTTCTGTTTGTGTACTTCTTTACTTACTTACTTACTTACTTACTTACTTATTTTATCACTTCTTATTTATTTCATTACTTCCTATTTATTTATCCATCTATGATTTTATTTTTTCTAAATTATTTTTGATTTCAGAAATTGCCCACAGTGATTCCATTGTAATTTTGCTTTGTACTAATTTTGACAATAAAGTTTTTTTTTCCTGTCGTCATCATTTAAACACAATTTAATAAGTTCAGATAGATTAAACTGAAAGTTGTAATCTTAAATAATTTAAACATTTTAATGCTATTATTGATTATTTCGTTCCTAAAATAATTTATCAAATTAGTATGAAACATGAAATTCAATTAGTCAATCAACAACTTTATATTTAGCTAGGTTTAGCTATTACTGTGCTATAGCCAGCATACGGCTGAAAACTTTTCAATTGTGATGGGATGATAAATTCAGATAAATTAGATAATTTATTTGCGAAAAAAAAATCAGAAACTTGAATACTCAAATTTAAAATTGGGGAGATTTTAGCTTTCATTTGATTATCATTCAGTAATGATTACTCTACTCCTAGCAGAATTTTTTGGTTTTAAAACTCCGAACCATTATTTTATCATTAATCATATCAGTTAATGACTAGTATAATAATCATTGATAGTTATATCAATGTTGTTATGTTGAAAATTTCTACTCACTTTTTAAGAAAAAACATTTTAACTACTTCAGTAAATTATTTCAATTTTAGTAATTGTTAATACTAATTAATTCCACAAATATTAAAAGTTATTAATGAAAAAAAACACACATTTTTGTGGAATTTTTCAAGAATTCCTAAAATTTATATAAATTTAAAATTTATGTAAAAAATAGTTTTGCTATTTCTTCTGTTTATTCATTTTTATTGCACAAAAGACAATTAATTAAATTATAATTTATTAAAGTATGTGAAGCAGTTAAGTGAGGAGTTGATGCAAGCAGAAGAAATTTTATTAGCTGAAGAAAAGTGCAATCCGAAGTTTTTCGAACATTCAATTGAAAATGATTCCGGATTTTGCAACCGGTTTTGCTGTTGCGAAAATTGGAAACAAAAAAAAAAAAAAATTACAGAACAATCTACAGCAATTGACTACAATAATTTATTGTAAATTTTATCCAGAATATGATTTAATTCATTTACTTTCAACATTTTCATTAAAATTTAACTTATCATATTGGTATTGTAACATAATAAGTTGGAACTTTATCAAATATGCAATAAATGTAATTAAAATTTTTTAATTTCTAATTAATTTCGCTTTTTTCTGTAAAATTATCAGAAAAAAAGGAATTTCAATTTGTTAGGAAAAGTAAATTTTTTGTAAAAATCGATAAAGAACTTTTTTCTTTTTGTTTTTCTTTTCTCATTTTATATTTTAATTATGATAAAGTTTAATTGTTTGGTACATTTTTTTTTTTTGCACAATTAATTAAACAAATAAAAGCACACCGACCATTTGATATCCGTAATGTTGACCTGATTTCAATAATGACAAATCGATGTTCAATTCACAATTTCTCGTAACTTTTTCTCGAATCTGTTCTAATCCCTTTCCGTCCCCTGTCCACCCTTCCCCCCTTTCTCCCACTCTCTTTTGTCACTAATTCATAATTAATTATTTTTTAGTTCCATTTTTTTCTTTCTTCCTTCTCCATTTACTTCCTTAATTTTTAATAATAGCTATTTTTCTTTCACATCTTTTAGTTCGTAATTTATTCTTCTCTTCCCTATCATTTAACCGGAATAATGGATTTTGTCAAATTAATTATCTTATTACTAATTAATTACCTTCTTGAGAACCTATCAAAATTTTAATCCTTCAAGTATTAAATTTTAGCCAACAATTTTCAAATCTTTTGCCAAATACTGATTAAAATTATAACGCAAATTACGTTCTTTTTTTTATAATTTATAAAATAATAGTTATTGAAATTTGTTTAAACATTAATTAAATAATAAAAATGAATGAATTGCAGTTGCCGAAATTTTGAAATGAAATATAAACTTTTCACCAATTACTTGTGACAGTCTTTTGTTCATGAATAAATTGAAGCCAATTGTCCTTTACTGTCATGGTCTTGGTGCAACAGTCCGAAGTGGTATTACATTAGTTGCTAAAAAATTTGTGGAAAGTCGAGGATTACAATTTAAAAGGTTTGCAAATTTTTGTCAATAATCTTCAAAATTTCATTAATTTTCCAAAATTTTTCTAAAATTTCTAAATTAATTTCTTTCTAAAATCTTGGTTTATTTTCGACAAAAAAAACATTTTTTTAAGTTTTTTAACTTTTCTTCTAAGTTTTTTCCCAAAATTTTTCTTCATTTCCAGTTTATGAACACGAAAAAATAATAAAAGTATAAAATTTCATAATTTTTAATTAATTAGTTTATTTTCTGCTTTTAAAAAAATGGCATTTTGTATGTGAAATGTGTGGTGAATATGATTTCTGATTGTAATTTCATCACTAATCTTTTTTTTTTTCTTTGTTATTTTGGTCTTTTAGTTCTTTTCATTGATGGGGGAAATTTATTTGACAAGATTAATTAATAAATATATTAATGTCTGGTTAAATCAAATATCTAGCAATTTAATTAGATATCTTAATTAATATACCCTAATTAAACATTTCTCATTTCCAAAAAATTTATTTTCCTAATCTTTCTGAAAAAAAATTAATTATTCCGATTATTTGATTAAATTACAAATGTAATTATTCCAATTATTTCATTCGTTTCTTTTTCTTTTCGCTTTTTAGTATTAAATATCAAAATTCTGAATGTAAAAACTACATTTGGAATGTTGATGATTGGCTTAATGATTTATTAATGAATATCGATGAATGTACCAAACAACAACGATTATGCATACTTTTTGGTTAATTTTATTTTAATTAAAAAATTATTTCATCAATTAATTTGAGCTTTTTTTTTCTTCAAAATTTTGCTTTCTAATCTAATCGATTTTTACTTTTGTTTTTTTTCTTTGGCTAATTTTTAATAATTAATTAAGGGAAAATTTTCAATTTTTTGTTTTTTGTTCTTTTGAAATTCTTCCTTTTTATTAATATTATTATCAATTTAAAGGTTGTAGCGCTGGTTGTCATAGTATACTTCGTGCTACATTATTAAAACCATATGCAATTCATGGCTTAATGCTTTTATCACCTGGTGTAGGCCTTGATCTAGAATCATATATTCATATTGTTATGCCACAATTTTGGACAAAAATTTTGGCTGGCAAAAATGTCCCACATCCTTCGGCCGCTAAACATATTTCGCCAATTATGATCAATCAACAATGTCTACAACATTTTGTCGATGTCTGTATTTATGCTTTGAAAACAACTATTAATTAATTAATTATTGCAAAATTTAATTTATTTCAATTTTAAACTAATGTTTCGATTGAATTTTTCCTTTTTAACTTTATGTTATATTTTGTTTTTTTTTTTCCGTTAAAAGATACTTCAACCATTCGCTGACATTTCCTTTTTTTTCGAAAAAGAGAAAAAAAAGTTAGATTCTACTTCTTTCAAAGTTAAAAACTAAATGACACTTTCAGACTTGTGTAAGTAATCAAATGACATCAATTCCTATTCATTGTCCTGTGAGAATTATGCATGGATCTGATGATAAGGTAAATTTAAATTTTGAAAAAGTTAAATATTTAAATAGGAAAATTTTTCAATTAATGTTTCCACCGATTTTTTTTCGAATTAAAATGGCGCAAAAATTTTGGACAATTACTTAACAAATTAATGTCAAATAGCATATATTCAATTAATATGAATTATTCAGATAGTTCCGTTGTCAAATGTGAAAAAATTCAAAGAAAAATTGGAAAGTAAAGATGTTATCTTTTCAGTAATTAATGGTTCAGGTCATCATTTACCGGTAAGCAAAACTTGTTTCATTTTTATTGAAATTTTAAAACTTTTTCTGTCTAATCCCACCGTATTTTCCGTATTCATTTCCCAGGACTCAAAAGCTTTGCATCAATTTAACCGAAGAGATTTATGTTTTGAATTATTATTATTATTATTATTTACTCATTATTATTATTATTATTATCATTATTATTATTATTATTATTATTATTATTATTATTATTATTATTATTATTATTATTATTATTATTATTATTTTATTATTATTATTATTATTATTATTATTATTATTATTATTATTATTATTATTATTATTATTATTATTATTATTATTATTATTATTATTATTATTATTATTATTATTATTATTATTATTATTATTATTATTATTATTATTATTATTATTATTATTA